TCTCCTTTTTTGTGGAGGAATTTGAAGGGAGGGAACCAATCATTTTTGGACGATGACCGAACGAGCTCCGATACCACTGTTGGAAATAAGTGAGGGAATTTTGGAGTATTGGAAGTCTAAATTAGAAGTAATATGAGAGAGATAATTGAATATAGGGAATCACTCTTTTTATTTTAGGGAAAACTGTCAAATAGGTCCTCGAACTTTCATAAAAAAGTCAATTAAGTCCTTCTATAGGAGACTCTGTCCGGTCGTCGCGATTTGGGGAGGTTCCCAGTGGAATTTTTTGATGAAATTTTTTTAGCATCTTATTCATCAAGTCTAGTTTACTCATACCAAATTTCAGTTAAAAATTTAATCGGGAGCGCATTCAAATTAATTCGAGAACGCAAAAATGCGCAGTTATCTTTAAGAATTAATTTGAATGTGTTCTCGATTAAATTTTTAGCTGAAATTTGGTATGAGTAAACTAGACTTGGTGAATAAGATGCTCAAAAAATTTCATCAAAAAATTCCACCGGGAACTGCCCCAAATCGCGACGGCCGGACAGAACCTCCTATAGAAGGACTTAATTGACCTTTTTATGAAAGTTCGAGGACCTATTTGACAGTTTTCCCTTTATTTTATTTTATTTTTCTTTTTTGTGCAAAATGGACATCACTAATAAAAAATAGCAATCCAAAGTCTTCTGCACATATTCAAAAACACATAGTTGAAATTTGTTTCCTTTTTCAAAGAGCCTATAAGTATGAGAGTGGACTTAACACTTTGTGAATCTTGTAATCCAGTGTATTACCATGTCAAACTATTAAAGAACCCCGCTTGAAAATGAGCACATGAAACCATGGTGATATTCTAATTGTAGCTCCTCAAGAAAAGCCACCTTTGAAATTTTTCAACATACCCTTTGAAACCAAAAAAGGTAGTGCGACATTCAAATACTTTGTTTATTATAGCAACTCAAATTAACTTTAATTGCTTGACACAGTGGTGGTAGGGAAGCTTTATGTATATTAGAACAAACGTACCTAAACTCTTATACCATTAATGCATTCTACACAATTCTACACAATTAATTGTAGAAGAATTCTAGATTACATAAGCTCAATTTACACCCTCTTAGATAACTGTCCGGACAAGGCCCTTAGGAAGTTAGGAATGGTGTGTCATCCTTTAATATTGTGCGCGCCACATTGAGGGCCCCATAGGCGATGCATGTGCTTGAAGTGCTTGTGCAGCCACAATTGCATAAGCGGCAACCATTACAACATCAAAAGGTGCCATAGGAACCTGGCTAAGTGTTCCCATGCTGGGGTGGCAGCTAAAGCGGCAGGGCCGGTCCTGAGGTATCGAAGGCCCTGTGCAAAATTAAATAAAAGGCCCTAAATTATATTTAAAAAAAAACTACCTCCATCTCCATGATAAAGTTATATCCTCTCTATTAATAATTAATTCAATTTTATAACAGAGTAATTATAATTTACATATTCAGAAATTATGTTAAAATCTCTATAAAGTTTCAAAATTCTAGTTAAAATTTAATTAAGAATTGATATCCCAATTAAGTGAATGAACATCAATTTTACAACTCAATTTGTGTTATATATAACACATGTAGTGAAAATAATAAACTTAAAAATAAAATAAAAAGTAAGTATAAAATGTAATAAAAAAAAATTAATTTGATTGCTATAAAAAATACGGAGTATCACAATAAAAGAAATCCAAATAAATAAAAATTGATATAGCTAACTATAAGGAAATAACTTACAAATGAAGTATAAATGGAGTACGGTAGTATAGTATAGCTAGCTTACCAATAAGCAAGTATATATGTATAGTGACACAATAACTTTTATTAGTTTCATTAAAGGTATTTGTACTACCACTGTTTTCCAACAACTTAAGTTGGTAAGTTGGTAACTTTCTAGCACCTCTTCTAGGTGGCATGAGTTCGATTCCAGATTGCTGCAGAATTTTTTATTTGGCATAGAACAACACTAGAACTATTGGGCCTTGTGCGGCCGCACCGCTTGCACAGCCTCAGGGCCAGCCCTATAAAGCGGTCATTAGAAGATTGTGAGGTGGATGATGAAACTTACAATCAGTTTTGGCACATTGTCCATAAAGATATTCACCACAAACTTCCCCAAGTGAAATTTTGATTTTGAAGGGTTTTAGGAGGATCATGTTCTACTATTTCAGGTGATGAATTTTTTGGCCATGTCTCGGAAAATGAGAAGAGAGTTTGTATTTCGACAGTGAGTGATCTTTGGGGCTCTGATGCAAATAAGGTTATTCGTCAAAAAACTTTGCTTGTTACACGAGAAAGTTGTTTACCCGCACAAAACTTCAATGTTCAAAAGAGTGATGTTTGGGGCTCTGATGCACATGAGGTTATTTGTCAAAAAGCTTTGCTTGTTACATGAGAAAATTGTTTACCCACACAAAACTTGAATGTTTAAAAGAGAATGTATAAAAAGAAGAATCAGAGATCGCATTGTATGAGAACAAGATTTCAAACACGAGTGAGTCTTTGAATATTCAACCGAGGGCTCCGTTTTTTAAGTAGGAATTTTTCTTTCTGTAATTTGGGCTGGGTTCTTCTACTTCTTGTTCTTTTTTATTTGCTTTATTTCCTTGTTTTATTTTTTCCTCATGTTGTACTTTCAATATTTCTTTTCCTTAATAAAATTTCCTCTTCCAAAAAAATGTGATATCAAATGAAATTATGATTGTTGAAATTATCTATGAATTATGATGGAAACACTTATTTGAAAAAAGTTACAAAGAAGAAAACCAAAATATCAAAATCAAGGCCCACGTGCCCATATCAATTTTAACTTATTGGTGCATCTAACAAATCAACCCTATGTCCCTAATGTCTATACACACACCATTCTTTTGTTCCATTGTTCTAGTACTTCAATTCGTGTATGGAGACCTGGTTTTGTATAATGAGGCAATTGTCATGGCCTTTTTGGTTGGATTTGACTTTACTGCCATGATAAAAGTTGTTAAATTTCATTATGCAATATTATCATTAAATTCTACTTAAAAGTTCTAAAGGTATAGTACGATATATTTTCATTCCAAAAAAGTATGATGTGTTATACCAAAAATATTAGGTATTACAATTCTTAGGTATGTTAAGAGCATCTTCAATGGTACAATGTTCACGGTGCACACGTGGCATGAGAGATGATCACATAAATATTAGTAAATAAATTATTTCTCTCCTTATTTAAATGATTTTATACAATTTTGGTAAGTTTTTCTCCACAATGTCAAGGAGACCGTCTAATCTTGACATTGTTGTTGACATTGCAGGGAAAAACTTACCAAAATTGTATAAAATCATTCAAATAAGGAGAGAAATAATTTATTTGCTAATAATTATGTGGCTATCACTCATGCCACATGTGCACCGTGGACATTATAGCATTGAAGATGCTCTAAGGTATGAGTCTTTTATCAAACCAATCTTTCGGTATATACCAAAAGACGGTATACCCAAAGTTTCCATGTGCAGAATTCATCAAACTGTACCCACTAATTTTGACCCGCTATTTTTTTTACTACCTAACAGCTACTTTTTAAAAAAAAAAAAATCAACCAAACAAGGCACTAGCCGTTGCCAAACGGTCCCAAACAGCTATATAGCCGTTGGATGGGGGCTGGGGGATCCCGGGCGTTTGAGGTGGGGGTTAAAAAAAATCTATAAATACTCTTATTGTTATTCATTTTTCAACACCTCTTCTCCAACTCTCTATTCTCTAATATTCTATTATTCTTAATCATCTCCAATTGTCCATTTCTCCATCTTCATCTTCTCAAATTCTCTTATTCTCCATTCTATTTTACTATTTAATAATTATACAATTATTATATATACTTATATATTAATTATCTACTTATAAATACATATATTATATTACTTGTATTTATTATCTACTTAATATCTACTTATTATCTACTCAATATCTACTTAATATATACATATTACATCTACTTAAAGGAAAATCCATTTTTAGATCTGTCTTTGGCAATCTTTTGAAAAAAAATAAAACAACTCTCGCTACTAAACAAAGCTCAGTTAACGAGTTTTCTCTGTATATAACATATCTTGTTGATTATGAATAAGATGAAGACTTTGACTTTCTACAGTGGTGGAAGGAAAAAGAAAGAATGTTCCCGATTTTAACACGGATGGCTAAGCAAGTGTTATCAATGCCGGTTTCAACAATCGCCGTGGATGAAGAATTTACTTCGGCCGGCAACATCCTAACAGATTCTAGAACGAGATTGAGCGCAAACTCTCTTGAGACACTTGTATGCTACCAGGATTGGTTGAAGGTCCAAAGCCCCAAAGTAGAACTCAAGAACTTAGCATCACCCCATCCCAACACTTTATGGATGAATCAACAACTGAGGGTGGCTCTAAAGTTGGCGGAGATTCCGATTGATTAGCATTTTACAATTTATTATAAAATGCATTTCATGTTTTAATTTTTTCCTCAATTCTCAATTGTAATTTGTAAACATGTAGTTCACATTTCAAATAAATATACGTTCATTTTTTTTATATGTAGCACTCCTCATTTTTTATTATAAAATGTATTTCATATTGTACGTAATAATTTTTTTCTCAATTCTCAAATGTAGTTCCTATTTCAAATAAATGCATTTCAACTTTGTTTTTAATATGCATCACTTGTATAAATTAGTAGGGGAAAAAAATATGAAACTGGCCCAACCTGACAGGTAGCCCGGCCCGCACCGGCACCAACCACAACACGGGCTGATCTCAGGCTTAGTTCCAGAACTCCGAGGCCCGTCCAGGCCTAGGCCTGACCCAGGCCCGGTCCAAGCTTACTCCCCGCAACACAATGAAAGTTTAAGCAATTATATCTTTTTTACCTACTGGTGCAGATAAGAAGATAATTGAAAAGTGTATTTCCCTACAAGCACCAACGTGTGTATAGAATTTGATTGCTTAATTTTTAATGAATCAAGAGTTCATTTACAAGCTTTCTAAATATTGTAGAATCACAGATAGTTCGAGGCTTCTAGCGTTTGAGGGCCCATTCATGATTCACCCCTTGTATTGTCATCTCAGTATGTAGAATTGTTTTCTTACAGCTAGATCGTCTATACTGTTGTTATTCTATTTAATACACTGGATTTTTATAATAATTACTCCCTCTGGTTCTAAATAAACTTCACACTTTCCTTTTTGGGACGGTCCAAAATAAACTTCACACTTCCTTATTTCCTTATTTGGCAAAGAAATCTACATCAAAACAGTGTTAAACAGTGCTAAACAGTGCCAAACAATGTTCCAACAGTGCCAAACAGTGCCAAACAGTGTCTCAACAATGTACTCTACAATAAAGTCAATTTTATTTCCTTAATAACTGTGAAGTCAAACACTGAAGTTTAAAAAGAATCGGAGGGAGTATGTTACTATTATTACTACTGTTGTTGTTCTTTGTGAGTCTGTAATCCTCTGTATACACTATTCAATCATTACAACTCTGCTGTTGGACAGTTGCTGCATCAACAATTCTACGCATGCGTCAAAATTACCCTGAAAACCGAAACATCTTCCAAAAGGCAGTTATGTACTCGTCATGTTCCACGCTTCTGAGTTACACTGTTACACTTGGATGTCCACTCAGCCGTCAAGCTAGTGGTGGAACGGTTCCGGGCCGGGCCTCGGTTCAAGGTAGGGGAGGCCCGGAACCGGCCCGGGTACGGTTCTATATAATTTTTTTTTTGGGTTTTCCTAATCAACCCCCTACCCTCCCCCTCAACCTCAAACCACCCCACACCACCTCAAATGGCCCAAAATAACCAATCCAACCCAAAAACTTAAACAAAATTCAAAAAAAAAAATTAAATCTGGCCCGGACTGGGCCCAAACCGGTCAGGCTGGTTCACCAAAATGAAGGCCCAGGCCCGGAACCGGTAGCCACCGGGCCGGGTTGACCCGATCCGCCCATGGGCCGGGCCGATTCAAACAGTGACCGGGCCGGGCCGGTTTCGGGCCGGTTTCAGGTCGGGCCGCCCGGCCCGAGTCCATCCCTACGTCAAGCTCCTCATTTGCATAAGAAGACACTTCTTATGATTTGAACTTTGAATCAATGACAAAACTTAAGAGAGTAAACACTTGGGGATCTCATCAATAGGTGCCCTTATCAGTTATCATTAATTCATGATGCATGTCATGGTCTTTTGCTAGATATGGGAACCAGTTTTTTATATATGTCCCCCCACCACTTCGCAATTGTGCAGTCCAGCATTCTCAACTTCGCACAAAAGAAAAATAAACCCACAGCAACACCAAAGCGCATTAAAGTACCAAAAGAAGCAAAACAGTGTGTTGGAGAAAGCGAACATGGAAGAGGGGAAGAGGTTGCCTGACAGCAAAACCAAGGAGCACAAAAGAAAATGGTATAATGTACATCAAAAGCTTTAAAGAAGGGGCAACGGCGGACAAATTTTAGTTACATGTAGAAAGAGCTGAACACAATCGCTAGAGTTTGCGCTGACTAAAAACCCAAATTTAAGATATGTGACAAGTGGGCCACAATTCACTCTGTGGGGAAAAGTTAGAAAGTTGAAAGAACTAAGAACGGCTATAGCCACATCTTGCATAAAGATACACAACAAAATTGATGGAAAATTGTCTGGATTTTTTTGCAACAATGGAAGACTATTTAAGATAACCTACTAAGTTGAATCTGTACAGGGAAAGACAATGGCCTTGATACAAGCCTACAACACCAAACTGCCGACACATTTGGCCATTGGATATGCTATGACGTCCTTTTTACATTTATGTAGCTAAATGATGCAATCTAATTTTTGAAGAGAATTACCTGTTATAGAATAGGATTTCACATTCTCTGTGCATTAAAGAACATAAACCTATCAAATCTTGACATACTTGGACGCAGAGCACAGTGATGCTAATGCTACCCATCTCAGCAATACCTGGTTGTGTAACTTGCATCGACTACCTAACCAAGCAGTAGCAGGGAAGAAAGAAAGAAAGAAAGAAAAAGAAAGGAAAAGAAAAGAAAAGAAAAGAAAGGGAGAGATGGTACCAACAAGAAAAAATGAAGTAGAAGATTAGGACAGGGCCAAAGCATAAAATAATCATAACCTTAAATTTCACAATAAAACTCCTACATAAACATTTCAAACTCATGGTTCTAATGCCGGATAACTGTGCAAGCTTTAGCAAATGTCCGGAAGAACCGATTTCTGCAGGTGCATACCTTCACAAACAATCAGATAAACTGTTTGACTCATTTCACCAAGCGCCCATTGAACAGCATGATCCTGCATGTTTTTTATAATTTAACGGAACAGCAAACTAGCCAAGCTACTAGCAGAAAAAGTAACACCTGCGGGAATCCTAGTTAATAAAACACCCACACAACTAAGATTGAAAGAGCTACAACAAATGGATCACAACCAAACACAGAGGGTCATAAAAAATGCAGTGCATTAAATAATGAACTTATTTGATACAATGACATTAATATGCAAAAGAATATGAGGTCAAATCAAACTCAGAACCCTTTTGAATGGCAGTGAAACACAGGGATGAAGAAAACGTTCATAGGCAATATATAGATACCACACATAGAATTAGCATGAATCCTTGCATCGGCATACAATTAAGAAATTTACTACCTCGAAATAGAGGTAATAGTCCACACTCCACCGTACAGCAAGTTAATTAATAGTTTGCTATAAAAACATTGCACAGATGATCCACAATTGTTAAAAGACAATTGTTGAATACTAATACCAGCCAAAAATCATTGCTTCATCAGACTCCGATTGTTTCCATCATCACCACCTGCAACAGAAAGAAACAGCAAATTTGTCACAGGAACAGCGAGTAATCAAAAATGACCACAAGGCCTTGTAAGATAGCCCTCTCCCTTGTACATAATGGCATCTAGTTCCTCAAACCAAAGCTTCAGCATGATCCTCTGTCAAGTTACTCTCAAATAACCATCCCTCAAATATTGAATGAGAAAGCGATGAATCAACGTCCAATGAGAGAAAATATCTAGATCCCCTGCACCTATGCATCCAAATTAAGATGATCTTGTTCCCTTATGGTTGAGTCAGCATCTTCAAAGACATTAATCTCTTGTTTCTCACATTCATTACAGTCCTCAAGATGACCATTTTCACCATCCAACTTCATTGATACAGGACTACGTGGATCAGTCTCCAAGACACCAGCTAACTCCCCAGGTTTTTCATCAGCATGCCTTGTCACTTCATAATTTTCGACATCCATATCATTATGTTCAGGTTCATCTTTGCTTTCTAGAGATTTAGATCTAGAGCGCTTCCGATGCCTTGATCTGCGTTCATCTGAGTGCTTTGGGGACCTCCTACTACTTCTTTGTCGCTTACCTTCAACAGACCTTGATCTGGATTGCCTTCTCACATGACGCTTTGATTTCTCTTCCCTGCTCTTGTTCAGCTTACTACTTGAGTGGTGTTTCTCAATGGGAGATCTGGACCTAGATATGGAACGCTTTCTAGAATGATGCTTAGATTTCTCTTTTTTTTCTCTATCCGATTTGTCACTTGTGTGATGCTTTCCTTCTGGGGATCTAGACCTTGACCTCGACCTCGATATCCTTCTATCCTCATTATTTCTAGCTTTATCTTCTCTCTTTCTATTTGAATGGTGTTTTGCATCTGGTGATCTGGACTTTGATTCTCTCCTTTGCAGGTTTTGCTTTGGTTTCTTTTCATCATAGGTTTTAGGGGACAATCTATTTTGTCTATCCAGATCATCGTGTGGTGAAACTGACCTTGAGTGTCTCCTTTTTCTATCTTTTGATTTTCCATGTTTATCATTACCAACTTTATCACTGGGTGAATGACTAACTTCCACAGAGTTTGACCTTGACCGTCGTCTATGTCTTGATTTACTTTCATCATTCTTCAGGGATGACCTATTCCTTCGATGTTCCGGAGACGTAGACTCAGCACGAGAAGAGCGTGTCTTGTGAACTGGACTTTCATGACGGTGTCTAGGAGAGTCTGAATCGTCCCTATACGACTTCCTAGCTCGAGGGGTTACACTCCTACTTCTATTTCTCCTTGAGACAGGTGACCGGCGTTTATATGATCTACCAGAATCCCACCTTCTACCTCTGTCATTGGCATACCTACTATCCCTATAAGACCGGCGCTCATCCTCAAATCTTGAAAAATGGAGGGATCTAATTGGTGATCTGGATCTATACCCTCTTAACCGTCTTGGTGGAGGGGAGAAGGAACGAGATCTTCTCCTTCGTCTATAATTGATGGGAGATCTTGACTTGGACTTGGATTTGGATCTGGATCTTGACCTAGACTTTGACCTGGCTCGAGTGTCAGGTGGTGACCTATGAATGGACATCAAACACATAGAATAAATTAATGAAAACCCATGGAACAAGAACAGAGTGGAAACTGAACACCTATGCAACATGAATATTAGTCACTGCTGAAGAATTTTTTATCTCCTTAAATTGATTCGCTACAACATTATAGACATATGCAAGGTTCTGAAACGCAAAATCGGACCTTGCGGCAGTCAGCTTTAGCCTCATGTATGGGTGTGCACATACCGGCTCAAACTGGAAAACTGAACCGGGCCATGCCAGAAAACCCAAAACCGGACCGGAATGTTAACCGGTCCAGGTTTCGGATATAAAAAATCACAATTCCAGTTCCCGGTCTGGTTCCAGTAAAACCAGATTATTCCAGTTTGAACCGGATTGAACCAATTTTGCTATATTTTGAAATATACTCCGTATTAATTAATACTAATAATACAAAGTAGTTAAAAAATAATAAATATAATAACAATAACAATCTAAAAAATAATGATTATGATATATATATATATAAAATATACATAGTTTAATCCTAATGTAAGTATAAGTAGTTATATAAATTATCCTAATGTTATTATTTATCCATTTATTCGTATTGCTTTGATAATAAAATAACTAATTTTTACTATTCTACACTCAAATTGTTCCAATCCTTTCTCTATAGAACTAGGACCAAGGAAAATGAGTGAGTGATACACACACACACACACACACATTTATAAAAGTCATAGTAGTAATATTCTCCATAATAAATACTCCATCTTGACCAAAATATTAGTTTTATATTTGTAATAAAAAAATAGAAACTGGTTTTTTGTACCAGTTCCGGTCTTGAACTGGTTAAACTGGTTTGGTTCTGCATAAAAAATGCAATATATCCAGTTCAATTTCCGGTTTCTAATTTTTTTGCAAACCCAGTTATGGTTCCGGCCTAGCGTGGTTGTGAACTGACACACACTTAGAATGATCTCTGTGCACAGAAAAGCACTGATTTTATAGGTGTAGCTAAACTTCCCAGTGTTATTATTAAACGAGCAGAACTTGCTTTGTTGATAAAGATCTAAATGACACTGATTATAGTTAACAAACAGGATAGTAAATTGGAGATGATGACATGTAACAGAAGCGTGACACTCTGGGATAACAATGTCAATTAACTTATGCAGACAAAAAAAATTGGAGAAGCATACAAGACATACTTCGATTTCTCATATGTTTCCATGCTTTCAGTGACAAGTCCATCAGCCTTTAGTTTTTTACTTATTTCTGCAGCTCTAGCAGCTGCAAGATCAGTAGCACTCTTCATGCTTGCAGCTCGACTGGCAGCCTGCTGAGCAGTATATGCTTGTTGCATTAGGAGAGCCTGCTGAAATTGCATCTGTTGCATGGCAACAGCCTGCTGCATCATTAAAGGCAAAGAAGATGATGTGCTAGAGGAATTTAAAGTGACTGGTTTTGGAGGAAGTTGTTTAGCCATTTCAACATTCAAGGGCCGTCCGCCAACTTCCATATTGTTCAACGCCAAAGCAGCAGTTGCTTCCTCTGGCTTAGAGTATTCTACGTAACCTAAGTGCTTCGACTCAGTAATGCTACAATCAACGATTGTTCCTGAAAACCCAAAGAGTTGCTTCAACTGATCCAACGTTAGAAGTGGACTAAGGTTGCTAACTTGCACAATTTTCTTAAGGCAATTGGCCGCTGTCTCTTTCCCAGCAGATCCTAATGGAAGCAAACAGTACATGCAATCATAAGATGTAATAATGAAATACTAAAAAATAAAGGAATGAAGACAAGGAATACTTATTTTAGTAGAAAAAGAATGTGACACCATATGTAACGATAGTGAAGTGATGGAATCTGCATTTATGCAGTTCTACAGCAAGCCTAAAATAATCTAGTTAAGGAAAACCAATAAAGACATTACAGTACATCCAAATGAAAAATAACATGACCTTCCCTTTACATTATTGAATATTCGTAACTGTAAAAAAATCTCATTCAAATTAAATTAATTTTAGATGTAGAGATTAAAATAAAAATAAGATAAAGAGAGTGAACGGTACCTGAGGTGTCATTTGCAGAGTTTGTTTGAGCCTGTGCTTGGGCAGCATGGGCTTGAAGTGCTTGTGCAGCCACAATTGCCTGAGCGGCGGCCATTGCAGCAGCAGAAGGTGCCATAGGAACCTGGCTAAGTGTTCCCATGCTGCTGGTGGCAGCTAAGGCAGTCATTAGAAGATTGTGAGGTGGATGATTAAACTTACAATCAGTTTTGGCACATTGTCCATAAAGATATTCACGGCAAACTTCCCCAAGTGAAAAGCCAACTCCGGGTAAAATGACACCGCCTGATGCTCCTTGAGTTATGCCTGGAATCATCCCAAGCAACCCAGGGACTGCTCCAGAAACAGAGCCAGAGTAATTTGGCATATTTGGCATTGTCTGATTAATCATATTCGAATAAATTGTTGGTGGGGCAACACCCAATAGCCCTCCGGTAGTTGATCCTGATGCATAGAAGAAAGAAAACTTAGACCCACACACAATACGTTGTGACTGATTAATAATTTACAGCCGAACATTTTGCAATAAGTTATAGATGTTCAAAACCATTATGACATGAAAGTAAAATTGCATCCACATGCCAGATAATTAGTGGAGCTAATAAAGACTGTTTGGTCACAAATAAATGACTCTCCAACTCAATATTTTAAAAAATGAAATGATTAAGTTATAATGTTCAACTGTTCATGGAAAGACAAAAGACTGATGAAATTTAATAATAGGGCACCCTATATTTTTTTATTTCAAATCTGAACTGCTGCAGATAAAAGTGCCAATATAAGTGAGAATAATGGTTATAGAATACAAACTCCGTCCCATATTGGTTTGCCAATTATGGTTTACTGGGTATGACTAATTTAATGTTAACTCCGATAATATTTAAATTACTATTGATAATTACGATTTACAAATTTGAAACCTACACAAAGTTTACTTAGGGGGTGTTTGGAATCGATTCTGCTTCTGCTTCTTTTTTAAAAGTAGAAGCAATGCCATAACCAATTTTCCAGAAGCTAGTCTCCCCCCAACATCTAAAAAACTGCTTTTAGGAACAATTTGGAGCACCCAGAAGTACTTCTACACTTTCACCCAAACACTCTAATATTTGTTTCAAGCAGTTTTAAAAAATAGATCCAAACACCCCTAATCTTGAATATGGTAATGCTTTGGAACACAAGAAAAATACATTGATCACATGAATCTATTAATTGATGCTTGAGATGTTGGATACATATGGAATGAAGGAGCCATGGGGGATAGGTCTTGTGGGGCTATAAGCTATGTGGAAGTATTAGTGGAAGAACTAATGGTTGTGGACTGGAATGAGGTAAGTCAGTAGTAGCCTGGTAGGAGCAGGCAAACAAGGTCTAGGAATTTAGGAAAGGCATGCATGTCAGATAGATACTTGGGAGAGGTGCCGTATGTGGTATTGCTAGCCCAGTAAGCATCCATATCACTTACTTGATACTTCTTAAGTTGAAAGATTTAGAAAGATTTGGAATAGTAAAAGGGCCTATTAAATAATTTAACCTATACTTTTTGAAATCAAACTAAAATCAAATTATGAATTAAAAACCATATGTAGCACTAAGAAACTTTGACCTAGTGAAGCTATATGTATTTGCAACAAGTCTGTAGAATTTCCTAGAGCTGTTTGGTAGTTCTTGAAAAGCCAACTTGTGCTTGATAGAGGATTCTCGAGGAGAAAACATGTGCTTGATAGAAGAAGTGTATCCATAGCACTAATAGGATGAACTGATATGCTCCAAGAACCGAGAAGAACAAGAATGTTTCTTTACTCTACAAAAATCAACCCAATAACTCATCACCATGGTGCAACTATGCTTTTACTTTCCAATTTTTTTATTAAATGTAAAGAAATTAAGAACAGTATGTATATATAGCCATATAATAAAAACCAAACCTTTACAAACCCAAAAACCACAAATTACCAGGTCAGAAAAATACCAGTACTGAAGAAAACGGGAAATGGACTGCCCATGATTGGCTTTCCATTGCACTCCACATTCACCATATAATTTCCTCTGCTTGGAACAACATAAGTCACACTATACGTCCCATCATTCATATCCTTAACGATCCCCTCTTGTTCGGAGCCGCCAACTCCTACTCCAGGAGCAACCTTCACCCTAACCTGCGCCCCACCATTGAGCAATTTGCGACCGTCAGCGTCCTTAGTAACAACTGTAAACGTGGAGGGTGCGCACGCCGCGCCGCCAGCTATGCCAGGGCCAGCAGCCGTGCACTTGTTGGGGTCCAGAGGTCCGATCGGCTTCTTGGCAAGCCTGTCTTCGTCCTCTTCTTCCTCATAATCGCTGTCCGAAGCTGCGGTTGCGACTGCGGTTGAGGGATCGACATTCTTAAAAGTAGCCTCGAAGGCAGCCTTTGCGGCCGCGGTTTTCTCCGCTTCACTCTTCAACTTAGCCTCCTCAGCGTGTTTCACCCATATCGGCTTCACCACCAGCGCAGAATTGCTGTTCCGATCCGCCATGTAAAAAGCACAAGCAATTCCCCGTTGCCCAAACCCTAATATCGGACCCAAAACAAGGGTGAACGTGCAAATGGTAGTCTATCGTATGGCACAAAATACGTTCGCTATCTATTTGTTCAATCCATTCTTCAATAGAAAAAGGTTCATTTAATTTAAAACCATTCAACGGCATGGACGTATACATACATGGTCATTATTTTTGTTAACTTTATCAAAAGCCAATTTGAGGGTGTGAAATTCGTGATATTTTTGTTTTAAAAGGGTGTAGCCGTGTTCAACTTTGAATTTTTTGAAAGTTCAACAACTTTGAAAATTATTTATGATATAAAAATTATGTGAAAACGTTCTTTGTTTAAAATACTTTTATAAAAGTATAAAACTTATCATTTCCATAATATTTTATTAATTAAAATCATGGTTCAAACTTTACAACCATTGACTTGAAAAGTCAAAGATGACAAAATGTTTAGGGACGGATGTAGTGTATATATGCACACGCACACACAAATTTATATCTATATATTTATGTGCATCTGGATTTATATTTACTAGATTCTTACCTTTGCGATGTACGACATAAGATGTACGGAGTAGTAAAAATACTTGATAGTATTTTTAAACATCAATAATACTCTGTAACATTAAAGTCTAAATACAAATATAATTTGTAAATGTTGAAATAATAATAAAATGAAGTAACAATCGGTGATATTCTTTTTATTAAAATCATATAACTCCAATCAAAAGGACCTACTAAATTTAACTTAGTATGTGTTTGTCTCTTATGTCATGTATGCACATTCATGATATTGCATAGGAGATGATCTAAAGTTTCGATTGTTTGGCAATTGATCGATTAAATTTGATTTATTGAGTTATTAATTACCTCAGTTCACTTCAGGGCATCTCCCAATGCAATTATATTGACAATGTACATGTGACATGAAGGGGGTGGAAACAAGGCAATAAATTGATGATATTTCTCTCTCTATTTACATAATCTTATATGTTTTTGATAATTTTTTCAGTAATATCAGCCACAATATCTATTTACGAACGTTAAAATAAGGAAAGATGTATTTTACATGTTATTTATATCACACATTGTTGACATTATATTTTCATATTGGAAACGCTCTTAGCAAAATTCCACTTTTTCTCCCCCAAGAAGCGGGACATGTATTAAACAACTCAAAGTCTAAGAAAGTTAAATGCATAAACATTAAAATGGGCGGTGATTTTACAATGGAAGATAGGCACTATGTTGAAAACGGTCTTTATATTTATGAAATGTGAATATATTTACACTCCAAATATATAATGCTATACCGTTCTAAAGTTGATACAACTTTTTGAATTTTACACTATCCACGTTCTCTACTTTATTTTCCATTGATTTATTAATGTATTATAAATGGGGAAAACTATCAAGTAAGCCCTCGTACTATGCCGAAAAAGTCGATTAGGCCCTCGTACTTTACAAACACTCAATTAAGTCCTCGAACTATTGAAAAATGTTCAATTAAGCCCTGTTGGTTGGTAAGTAACCGGTTTCCCGTTTATACGACGACGGCGGCGACGATGTTCTCGAACCCCAGCAACGTTGGCTGCCGGGAAACGGGTTACATTTAACCGGGAAACCGGTTACTTACCAACCAACAGGGCTTAATTGAACATTTTTTAATAGTTTGAGGACTTAATTGAGTGTTTGTAAAGTACGAGGGCCTAATCGACTTTTTTGTCATAGTACAGGGGCTTATTTGATAGTTTTCCCTATAAATTTAATTTTTCAAAAATATTATTGAACTCCTCGTATTATTTTACTCCATTTGTCCTGTTTTATTTATCCTATTTTGAAAAGAAATATGTGATTCACAATATTCTACCTTGTTATACTCAAATATCAACCACAATTTTTACTTTTTCAAATGTTTTATAAATAATTGGATAAATAAAGATACACAAAATGAGATGGAGACACTCATAATGAATCTGCCACATCAATGGTAAAAAAATTGGATTATCAAAAGTAAAAATGGAAGGATTGTAATTTAAAAAGAACCTAATAAATAAAAAAATACTTTTTGCAACCCAAACTAAACAGTCTGAGTGCAAATGCACACGAGTCAACTCCATAACACTAAGATAAAATCTACTCAGCAATAAACTACAATATTTAATTAGTCTCCGCACAAGAACATTACCACCTCAAAATATCAAAACAAAAACAGTCTGCAATACCATATAAAAACACGTGTTGCACAGCGAAGGCACTGACCTGATTATTAAGGGAAAGTTTCCGAAATGAGACTAAAAAAGTTTAAAGATTCTAAAATAAGAATGTCATGTTTTTATTCCCAAAATAAGACTAATTACTGCCAAATTTAGAAAATACGGCCATGTTTGAAGTCTGATATTGCCAAAACATGACAATAATTAGTCCTATTTTGGGAATAAAAACATGGAATTAGTCCTGTTTTGGAATTTCCAAACTTTTTTAGTCTCATTTTGGATAATATTATCAAGTAAAAAAAAACATGGCAAAAGAGCTCTGCATGTACATGTGCCCGAACCATCAAAGCAGGCGGGCTGCATGATCAAGCCCCAACTTGGAAGGTTCCTTCGTAACTTTCGTAAGTTTATTCCACAAGAAGCGCCACTCAACAACTCAGGCCTCAGACAAGAAATAACTTCAATCTATTTATTAATTTGAGTGGTAATGATAAAGTTTGCTAGACGACTACAGCATCGGGGAAAATGATAAAATTTTGTGGGAAATAAAGTACAGAGCCGGCCTTATGGCCATGTTGGGCCAGGCTTGTGCCTAAGGCCTCCAAAATGTGAGCGGCCTCCAAAAAATAAAAGTCTATTACTATTATAATTAGAATTAATTTTTGAATACAATAGACAACAAATTACTCGCGCAAGTAGCCAAGAACGTCAGAAGCCAGCAAAATCGACCGACTTCACAACCACCGAACAAGGTTACGCCGCTCTGCCGCTGGGCAACTCCAGGCTCAAGCATCCGCCATCCCGTCCGCCGCGGCACCGCCCTCCATACCTGAGCCCCTATTTGGGAATTTCCGGCCGCCGCTCCAATTCTCCGGACTCCGGTCTTTAAAGTCTGAATCTTTAAATAAAAAATCCCTGATTTTGATTCGCTATCACTCATTCACTCTATCAGGTATGTCGTATGTCGTATGACCGTGTATGACTTATGAGCTTCCGTAAAACCTAATTCAATTAAACTAATATTTTCTTTACTTCATTCTTTAGTACTCCGTGATTAGTAGTCTGACAAGTCTGTAGTTTGTATAATTGAGTAATTGTATTTACTCTTTATTTGTTATAGCTTCCTGGCTTTTTAGATTTAGTTTTGTACTTTCTACAATTCTACTTTTCTAGTCTTTATGACTTATGAGTTATGACTTTCTTTAGTTTTTGTTATTACTTATTACTTCTGTATTATTTATTTAGACCATTTAGTTATTGCTACTTTAGTTAGTTTGGTAGTTTGCAGTAGTGGTAATAAGTGGTGGACTAGTGTGGACTAAGTAGTTGTCTAGGTATTCGCATAATTGCATTACTTATAATCTATACTTCTATATTTTTATAAATGTGTTAGTTGTTAAATGTAGGTATTGTCATTTGTCATGATGGGTAAGCGAAAATTTGATTCCGGATATACGAAGAGAAAGAATATGTTGAGAAAAAATTCGGTTATTAAATCATTTGCCGGGTCTATGGATCGGAATATAAAGACAATTCCTTCCTTAAATGTTGTTGACAATGACAATACGAATAAGTTGAGGCTAAGTTATCTATTGAAAAAGAGGTGTTAGCTAGTCTTGATTGTAATGACGTCCTTACTAGTTTTGCATTTTAAAAGGCAAGGAGAATTGGGTATTAAAAAGTACACTTTTTAGTGCATTTTATGTATGTTACATTTAAAACTATATTGTTTTGGAATTTGCAATATATGCTGTTTTTGCATTTATTTTATCTTATATATCATTGTATTTTATGATTGTGATATATATTTATTAAAGTTTTTGTGAAGCGTTTCCGCCTGGGGCCTCCGAATCGCTGGAGCCGCCCCTGATAAAGTATAGTAAATGATGTAAATTGAACACAATAATGCTTGAGAAGTATATTTTAACATCACTACTTCAAATTGTATATAACATCACTACTTGACATTGTATGTTGGTCCCGTTAAATATGGTAATCAGTCTAGAGGGGGGGGGTGAATAGACTGATTGGTTTTTCAACTTTTTCTCAAAGTCAAAACTGACTTATCAGAGAAGGTCTGATTCTGATGATAGAGAAAGGCTGGTTCTGATATCAGAACTGGCCTTGGCAGCGGATTCTGATCTGTCCGGGTAGCCTCAGAAAATACTAAGGCAAATACCTTTCTGATAACTCTGAAAACAAGATCTGCTGAACACAGATTCCAAGTCTTCGAGTTAATCAGTTAATATCCTAAGTGCAGAAATATAAATTGCAGTAAAGTAAATGACACCAGATATTTTATAGTGGTTCAAGGAACAACACGTTCCTCTAGTCCACTGTTCCACTAGCTTTGAAGTAGATCAGTTACAAAGCTAAATCCTAGCACTTAAGAAGTTCTCCACGCCTTCTTCAAGTCTAGCTGCCACCCAGGATGCAGTTCCACGTCCTGATGGCTGGTCCTTTCACTCAGCTTCCCGGAAGTATCACCACTTCACTACTGCAGTTACTTGGACGCCCTTCTTTTCAGAAGATCCTTTGAAAAACAGAGTTTTTCCTCCAACTTGCTTCGTTACAAATGATGTTTGATGAAGTTCTTGAAGTGTTGAAGAACAGGATGAACTTTGCTTGTTTGTTGGGGATGAAAGATTTGGAGTTTGAATCTTCCCAACGTAAGCTTGTCTTGTTGAAGGTTGTAGAATTTGAATCTCAAGAGAGCTTGAATGATGGTGTGCAAAAGTTGTAGCAAAGTTGTTTTTCTGTTCTTCGGTGTGTAGCTTATATACTGAGGTTGTCTGCCCGTTGGAGGAGGAGACAACTGCATTAAATGCGCGTACAGTTGACTTGACCGCCGTTTTTGGAAGGTTTCTATTTTTATAATATATCTTCCCGGATTCTTTGGTCAATCATTTGCAATCAAT